TGGTCAACATGGTGAAACCCCGTCTCTACTAAAAATACAAAAAATTAGCTGGGCATGGTGGCACGTGCCTGTAATCCCAGCTACTCAGGAGGCTGAGGCAGGAGAATTGCCTGAACCCAGGAGGCGGAGGTTGCGGTGAGCCGAGATCGCGCCATTGCACTCCAGCCTGGGCAACAAGAGCGAAACTCCGTCTCAAAAAAAAAAAAAAAAGAGGCCAAGAGTTAGCAGAGTAGCGCTGAGGAACTGAGATGTGGGACTCCCTGTACCCTATAAACCACCCACCCTCCCTATTCTTGTCCCTCAGGTGGTCACCCTGTGGTACCGAGCTCCTGAAATCCTCCTGGGCTGCAAATACTACTCCACAGCTGTGGACATCTGGAGCCTGGGCTGCATCTTTGCTGAGATGGTATGGAGGCTTGCCTAAGTTCCACCCAGCCCCCTTCTCCCCACATCCAAGAACAACAGAACTGTTTCTTGGCCCAGACCTATGATGCTTCTATCACAGGGTTCTCTTTCTAAAGTGGCACCAAGGGGAATGGTGGGGAAAGGATGCAACTGTTGGCCCAATATCAACTACAATGTTAGGATATCCAACAACAGCCTTAGTACCTAGTATACATCTCTATCCCTGAAATGAGGTAAAACATTTCTGCAGCTGTTTTCACCGCAGTCTGCATATACTTGGGAGAATGATTCCATTCAGTGCCTCTTTTATTTCAGGGCTTCACTTCAAGGACTGTAGACCTTGTTGTATGGGTGCCAGGAATGTAGTGAAGCCAGTTGTGGTCCCTTTGTTCACACCCTTCATTTAAACTGCAGATTTAGACAGGGTGCAGCGGTTCATGCCTGTAATTCCAGCACTTTGGGAGGCTGAGGTGGGTGGGTCACCAGAGGACAGGAGTTCAAGACCAGCCTGGCTAACATGCTGAAACCTCATCTCTACAAAAAAATATAAAAATTAGCCAGGTGCGGTGGCACAAACACCTGTAATCCCGGCTATTTGGGAGGCTGAGGCAGGAGAACTGCTTAAACCTGGGAGATGGAGGTTGCAGTGAGATGAAATAGCGCCACTGCACTCTAGCCCAGGTGACAGAGTGAGACTCCATCTCAAAAAAAAGAAAGATTGGCCGGGCATGGTGGCTCATGCCTGTAATCCAAGCACTTTGGAGGCCAAGGTGGGCGGATCACCTGAGGTCGGGAGTTCAAGACCAGCCTGACCAACATGGTGAAACCCTGTCTTTATTAAAAAAAAAAAAAGATTTAGATCATGTCCCCCTTCAACCTCTGGCTTTCCAGACTGAAGGATCCTTGAGGCCTGGCCTTATGTAGAAGCTCCCATCTCCTTTAATACAACAGTGCAGTGCAGTAGGCTGAGCCTTCAAATCAGCAATATGTTTTATGGTCCTTTATCTGGGTTGTAACCAAGAGCTTAAAGACCCTTAGCCTATACATATGTATTATGCATTTATCACCCAGTGCATTACCTTACAATTGCCCATATTCCTCTCTCAATTCATCAAAAAATATTTGTTAAGCACCTAGTGTGTACCCAGCACCATGCTAGGTGCTGTGGGGAACACAGAAGAAATGGAAGACAGAGTCTCTGCCCGCTGTGCTCCTATCTAGAAGTGGCTGCATCACAAGGTTGGGGGATGACCGCAGTGTCTACCCCACACCCCGTGAGTGGCTTGGGATCCCTTTGCTACATGTCAGTGGCACCCCAGACATTCACCCCCTCCCAGCCCCACCCAGCCTTGGGGATCTGCAAAGTCATGGTTGGGGGAAGGAAGGAGGGGGCAAGGAGACAGATGAAGGGACTTCTTTGTCTCAGGTTCTGTGTGACCGACCCCATGAAAGGCCCTGGGGAGGGAGTCATGGGGCCCTGCTGACCTTTCACCGCCTGTGGGAACTCCTTTATATAGAGGACAGTTTTGACTGACGTCAATGTGGGTCTTGGTATTTCCTCTTTCCCCATTTTCAGGTGACTCGCCGGGCCCTATTCCCTGGAGATTCTGAGATTGACCAGCTCTTCCGGATCTTTCGGACTCTGGGGACCCCAGATGAGGTGGTGTGGCCAGGAGTTACTTCTATGCCTGATTACAAACCAAGTTTCCCCAAGTGGGCCCGACAAGATTTTAGTAAAGTTGTACCTCCCCTGGATGAAGATGGACGGAGCTTGTTATCGGTGAGAGTGGGCACCTGCTTCCCCTCATTCATTTCTCCCAGGGGAGAGATTTTACAGGATGAAGGAAGGATGAGACCCTGAACTCTGGGCCTCAGTATTTCATTTCCCCCGATTCCTTCTTTCCCTGTTGGCATGCTGATTCAGATACAGGAGGATGGAAGTGAGAATTCTGCCTTAGGTAGAAAGAGTTCTGGTTTCCTGATTTCTGGGAACACTTACTGCCCATTTAGTCCACCATCACATCATTGAAGTCAACATGCATCTCTCCCCTCTCCCTCTAGCAAATGCTGCACTATGACCCCAACAAGCGGATTTCGGCAAAGGCAGCCCTGGCTCACCCTTTCTTCCAGGATGTAACCAAGCCCGTACCCCATCTTCGACTCTGATGGCCTTCTCAAAGCCCCCAGCCCTAATTTCACCCTCTCCTCCAGTGTGGGCTTGACCTGGCTTGGCCTTGGGCTATTTGGACTCAGGTGGGCCCTCTGATCTTGCCTTAAACACTCACCTTCCAGTCTTAGCCAGCCAACTCCGGGAATACAGGGGTGAAAGAGAGGAACTGGTAAAAATGAAAGGAAGTTTCAGTATTAGATGCACTTAAGTTAGCCTCCACTATCCTTTCTCCCTTCTCCTAATTATTGCTAAAGAGGGTTGGTATTTAAAAAAAAAAAAAAAAAAAAAAAAAAAAAAAAAGCCTCCCTACACATTAGATTTGCCGTACCAATCTTTGAATACCCCATAATTACTATTTCCAGTGTTTGGGATGACCAGGATCCCCAGCCTCCTGCTGCCACAATTTTTGTAAAGGCTAAACGATAGCAGGGGCCTAAGTTGGAGCTTTTGAGAACCAAGTAAAACAAAACCACAGAGAGGAGTCTATTTTAAAGAATTCCTTTGAAAAAAATAGATGCAATCAGTTTATATCCTAGTGTTTTGCCTCACCTAATAGGCTGGGAGACTCAAGACTCAGCCCCAGATGGGGCTGCAGAAGAAATGATTGGCCCCAGTCCCCATGTTTGTCCCTTCTACCGTCATGAGGAGTCTGGGAGGCCCTGGGACAGATATTGTGCTTCTTTCCAATCTATTATTTCACCGCGGCCTTATGAGGCAGGTGAGAGATGTTTCCATTTTTCTCTTCCTTTTAGTATTCTTAGTTCTTTAGTTGCCAGGGATTCCTGATCCCAATTTCCTCTGAAGTCCACCTTCTACCCCATAGGAGTGGAAGTTAGGGTTTAGGCATTTTGAGAATGCCGACACTTTTACAGGGCTGTGATTGAGTGAAGGCATTGGATAAAAATATTTCTTTAAAAGAAGGATGAACAATTATATTTATACTTCAGGTTTTATCCAATAGTAGGGTTGGCTTTTTTTTTTCTTTTTCCTTTTTTTTTTTTTTTTTGTCAGAGTGGGTGGATTTGTTGCCATGTGCACCTTGGGGTTTTGTAATGACAGCGCTAAAAGAAAAAAACATTTTTTCTTTTATGATTTTGTCTCTGCCACCCTTGTCCTTGCGTGCTCCTGCTATTAACGTTACTTGTAATTTAGTTTGTAGTTCATTAAAAAAATGTACCTAGTTTTATAGTTCATCTCTTTCCTCATCTTATTTACTAAAAGAATGGTGGGAGACAGAATGTGACTATGTATATGTGATCATTGATTCCAGACCCCTTTTCCTAATCTCTCTGTGGATGTCTACCCACCCTGCCCCATTTTGGCTAGTGCTGGTGATAAACAAAGCGGTTATTATTGTCCCTATTTATGGCTGGGGAATCTGAAACCTATATACTTCCTACTTCACTTTCTCCACACACCAACAAACCTTTCCCCCAGCCAACATATCACACACACACACACACACACACACCACACATACAACATACCATACACACATCACACACACACACACACCGCATATGCATATACCACACACACACCACATACACACACACCACACACCACATACACACATACACACATACACACACCACATACACAGACACACACACGCACATACAAAACGGCAAGAGGGCTCCCGGGGAATTTGCCTCGCGACACTGCATTTCCCGGTAAGCTCGCCGTTTTTCTCCTTTCTGTTTCATATCACAAAACAGCACAGTTTTCCAAAGATTCTTTTATTTACATATACATACGATTCTGAAAAAGCGTCTCCAAGCTACCACTGCTTGTAGTTGCCATTGACTCAGTCCACCAAAAACCATCTCAGGCCGCCCGCGGGCCACCCCAAATACTCCTGTCCCCTGAAGCCTCCCTAAAAGGAGGAAGCGCTGATGTCAGGGTTCCTTAAATTCCGAGGCTCCAGATCCCTAGGAGAGGTATTTCCTTTTACGCCGGCGAATTTGTCATAGAAGGCGGGACACTGGAGCCAGCCCCGCCAAGTCCGGGGAGGGGCGAAGGTCAGCAGCGGCCTTCCTAAGGCTTCCTTCAACCCTGCCTTGCTGCCAGTCAAATCCTGTATTTTCGCAGTACTGGTTAAAGTTTCGCTTTGGCCCGCCTCCATCACTCACCTGATTAGATGTTTATGAGTCAAAAGGCGGGGTCATGGGTTGTCGAGGTTTTACTGGTGGATACATGCGCCTGTCGGCAGTGTACCGCCCCACTGTCTTCAGGAGCTTGCTTTTTAATGGCTCCTTACCTCGTCCATCTTCGAGGTTTCTCCGTCGCTATTGGTTTGTGGCCCCGCCTGTCGAGTCCCTTGCTCGTACTTGTCGTTGACTGCACCCAAAGAGACCCGCCTTTCTCCGAGGATTGGTGGATGAGTGCACATATAGCCCACCCTCGATGGTAGGCGGGTAATCGAGCTATTGGCTGGAGTCCCCGCCCCAGGGCGAGGAGGAGAAGGAGGGGCAGGAGGGTTTGGTTGAGCTGCAGCTGTTTGTCTGTTCGACACAGGCTTGGGGCCGACGGGGGAGACGGAGCCCCAGGTACCGAGCTGATGGAACCCAAAGGGCAAGGGCGGAAGCGCCCGGGAAATGAGCGCAGCCTGGCCTGAGAGCCGAGGCGGGTCTGGGCCTAAGTGAGGGGTTAGAGTGGCCCACCGGAGAAGGGAGAAGGGGGCCGGGCCCCGGCAGGCCTAATAGGGGCTCAGAGAGGGGGACTGGGCGGGCTGGGACCCCAAAGTTGGTGAGTCGGGGAGGCGGCTGGGCTGTGGCGGCGGCCGGGCCGGGGGCCGGGCACTGGAGGCCCGGAGCTTGAGTGAGGGCAGGGGCAGGCCTCATTAAGCAGCTCTGAAGAGGGAGGAGCTGGGGAAAGGGACAGGGCAGCGGGCGAGGTAAGCCCATCTGCCGGGAGCTGAGGAGGGGTCAGACCTGTCGCTTGAGCCCGAAGGCTGACTGGGGCTGGGTCCCTCCAGAGAGGTTCATTGGAAGAGCCTGAGAAGGGTTCTTAGTTGGATAAGAAGCGTTCTTTTCAGGGAAAGTGCCTATTGTAGAAAGAACTGAGGGTGTTGTGGTGTTGGGCTGAGAGATTTGGGTCCAGTGAGGGAGGACTGGGGAAAATGAAGAAGGCTCTGTGAATCTAGAAGACTAAGTTAGTTGAGGAAATGGAAGCAGGGCCTGGGGTCAGTTACGGGAGCTTCTGGGTATGCTGAAGTGGGGCTGGAGGCTCTGGGTCCTGGGAGTACCCACGCTTTTGTTCCTTTCAGTGTTTAGATGTGGTCATTTGAAGCTCTTTAGAACTCCCAGGGTAGGGATGAAGATGAAGGTAATTTTTTTTTTTCCTATGACTGTTGGCTGCTCCATACTCAGCTCCTACACTTTCTCCTGGCTTCATACCTGGTCTATACTGCAGTCTGTTTCTTAATCTACTGTTTCATGTCCTATGAAAGAGCTAAGAAGTTGGATTGGGGGCTTGTTTTGTCCACTTCTTTCATACTTAATAATGTGGTCTATAGTGAATACCATGTCTCCCAGAACTGAGAATCTATTTCGTATCTTATTATTTATGTGGGAAAGGGGCTTAGAGATCCTCAGCTATCAGGAGATCTTCTGATCATAGTTGGTGAAAGTTTTGTGGGACTTAGACTTGACTTGGGTATTTCCCTGGCAGGTAACGGAGTTAGCAGGTCCGAAACTATGAGGTGATATTACTGAGGAAGAGATTTGGGGAAAAGTGAGAAATTCCATTTCAAAAGCTTGGCATCACCCCTTGTTCTTTGTCTACTTCTTCAAAAGCCCAGATTTCTGTGCTGTTAGAAAGTTGGGTCAAACTATGAAGTATCTGGGGAAGATGGTGAGTAGAGAAAAAGGTGCAGTAGTTTACACCTGTAATCCCAGCACTTTGGGAAGCTGAGGCAGGAGGATCGCTTGAGGCCAGGAGTTTGAGACCAGCCTGAGCAACATAGTGAGATGCTGTCTCTACAAGAAATTTTACTTTATTATTATTATTATTATTATGAGACCAGGAGTTTGAGACTAGCCTGGGCAACATAGTGAGATGCTGTCGCTACAAGAAATTTTACTTTATTATTATTATTATTCGCTACGAGAAATTTTACTTTATTATTATTATTGAGACCAGCCTGGGCAACATAGTGAGATGCTGTCGCTACAGGAAATTTTACTTTATTATTATTATTATTCGCTACGAGAAATTTTACTTTATTATTATTATTATTATTGAGACCAGCCTGGGCAACATAGTGAGATGCTGTCACTACAAGAAGTTTTACTTTATTATCATTATTATTATTCACTACGAGAAATTTTACTTTATTATTATTATTATTATTATTGAGACCAGCCTGGGCAACATAGTGAGATGCTGTCACTACAAGAAATTTTACTTTATTATTATTATTCACTACGAGAAATTTTACTTTATTATTATTTATTATTTTTTTTGAGACAGAGTCTCACTCCATCACCAGGCGCCAGGCCGGAGTGCAGTGGCACGACCTTGACTCACTGCAACCTCCGCCTCCTGGGTTCAAGCAATTCTCCTGCCTCAGCCTCCTGAGTAGCTGGGACTACAGGCGCCCGCCACCGCGCCCAGCTAATTTTTTTGTATTTTTAGTAGAGACGGGGTTTCACCATGTTGGCCAGGATGGTCTCGATCTGTTGACCTCATGATTCAGGTCTCGATCTGTTGACCTCATGATTCGCCCGCCTCGGCCTCCCAAAGGGCTGGGATTACAGGCGTGAGCCACTGCGCCCAGCCTATTTTATTATTTTTATTTTTATTTTTATTTTTAAGATGGGGTTTTACCATATTGGTCAGGCTGGTCTCAAACTCCTGATCTCAGGTGATCCGCCCACCTCAGCCTCCCAAAGTGCTGGGATTACAGGCGTGAGTCACCGCGCCCGGCTAGAAATTTTTAAAATTAGCTGAGCTAATTTTTAAAATTAGTGTCATGAGCCTGTAGTCTGAGCTACTTGGGAGGCTGAGGCAAGAGGATCACTTGAGCCCAGGAGTTCGAGGGTGCAGTGAGCCATGATCTTGCCACTGCATTTCAGCCTGGGCAACAGAATGAGATCCTCTCTCCGAAAAAAAAAAAAAGGAAAAGATTGCCAAGGCAGAGGAGTGGAGTACCCTCTTCCCCACGTATTTTTAACGGTCTGCCAACCTTTGTCATCCCTCATAGATTGGAACCTATTGGATTTTTACCCTACTGTACTTCCTTCTTTTCCCCTTCTTTACCAATATATTTTATTACTACATTTCTTAATTACAAAAGTAATATGTACATATTTTAAAATATGTAAGCTGTACAGCAACTTAAGAAGTATAATTCCTCCCACACATACCTCACTCATTTCATTTAGGAAGGTCAAGAATCAGAGACGGCAAATCAGACTAATCTTGCTTTGCTTTGGAGGATGTGCCACAAAAGTCAATTCTGTTTTCATGTTCTCACCAAACGCTAGTCTCATTCTTTCTACAGTTTTCCCTTCTGGGATGATACTCTGTTATTTATTGTGCTCCTTTCACAGTTCATTTTGTCTTCTACCAAGTCAGACAAGCAGAGGTCTGTACTGTGTGTTATTCACCTTCAGCACACACACACCAAGTTATGTGGTGGGTGTCCTAGGAAATGCCCAAATAGATGAAATAAAACTTTTTTTTAGATAGAGTTTCGCTCTTGTCGCCCAGGCTGGAATGCAGTAGCACTTGGCTAACTGCAACCACCGCCTCCCAGATTCAAGCGATTCTCCTGCCTCAGCCTCCAGACCAACTGGGACTACAGGTGCGCACCACCACGCCTGGCTAATTTTTGTATTTTTAGTACAGATGGGGTTTCACCATGTTGGCCAAGTTGTTCTTTATCTCCTGACCTTGTGATACACCTGCATCAGCCTCCCAAAATGCTGATATTGCAGGCATGAGCCACTCTGCCTGGCCAGAACAAAACTTTATGGGGAGAAAGGATCATTTTGGGGGGCGATAATTGTTGGTATCTTTGCTAAAGAGAGGAATTTCAGACCTTTATCTCAAATTTGTGGTCTCTGCATGTTCATGGCCTCTGCATGTTCACATTACTTGACTGTTTCTTTCTTATCCATGATGATGATGGTTCTCCTAAGAGGCTCCTGTATTTGTCTTTCTTTTCTTTTCTTCTATTTTTAGAGACAGGGTCTTGCTCTGTTGCCCAGGCTAGAGTACAGTGTGTGTCTTTCTATAGTGATGTGAGAAGCTCCAAGCTTCTCTGGATTTGAAATCAGTTTTCCTCTGAATCTCAGAGTCAGAGTACAGCTAGGGCATTTCATACTACCACGTTATTAATTGAATTTGTCCTTTCTGGCTTTAAAAGCCCTCTATTATACCCAGCCTTTATATAGTGCCCATCGGAAACCTCAGTTGTCTCCCCCAAGGAACTTTTCTCAACTGCAAGCCAGTTCTAGAGACAGTTGTATGGGGGTGGGGGGTGTATGTGTGTTTTGTTGTTGTTGTTGTTGTTCTTGTTGTTGTTTTGTTTTGAGACTGAGTTTTTCTCTTGTCGCCCAGGCTGGAGTGCAATGGCACAATCTCAACTCACTGCAACCTCTGTCTCCCAGGTTCAAGCGATTCTCCTGCCTCAGCCTCCAGAGTAGCTGGGATTACAGGTGTGTGCCACCATGCCCAGCGAATTTTTGTATTATTAGTAGAGACAGAGTTTCACCATGTTGGCCAGGCTGGTCTCGAACTCTTGACCTCAGGTGATCCACCCACCTCAGCCTCCCAGAGTGCTGGGATTACGGGTGTAAGCCACCATGCCCGGCCGTGTGTGTGTGTGTGTGTGTGTGTGTGTGTGTGTGTGTTTTAATCCCATCTAGTCTTTGCCATTTCCTAAACCCTGGTCATATCCTGTCCTTTTCTTCTGTGCATCCCTTTATGGATTTGGTTGGTTGGTTGGGTTTTTTTGTTTGTTTGTTTGTTTTGTTTTGTTTTGTTTTGTTTTGTTTTTTGAGACAGAGTCTAGCTCTGTTGTCCAGGCTGAACTGCAGTGATGCTATGTCAGCTTATTGCAACCTCTGGCTTCCAGGTGCAAGTGATTCACCTGCCTCAGCCTCCCATGTAGCTGGGATTATAGGCGCATGCCACCATGCCTGTCTAATTTTTGTGTTTTTAGGGGAGATGGGGTTTCACCATGTTGGCCAGGCTGGCCTCTAACTCCTGACCTGAAGTGCTGGGATTACAGGCATGAGCCACCACAGCTGGCCTCCCTTGGTGTTTTCTTGTCTTCCCCTTAATCAAAGCTTACTTTCAAGAAAGGATCTGGAATTGCTGTTATTAAGATGTAAATAACACAGTCACTTAAACTATTAATTTTTTCAACAGTTTTTTGCATCTTAAGAGGGAGTTTAGGAGTAGAATTACAATAAGGAATTTCATACATAGATCTGGAGTTGCAAAAATATATTTGTAGAAGAGGGGTTTCCTTATTGCCCTTCAAGTCATACCTCATATCTTTCTAAATTAAAAATTTTTTTTTTCCTGTGGCCGGGCG